CGTTCATTGCTGCTTCTTTAGTTACTGTAATTTCAATTAGACTTGATAAAATTACTCCAACGTTTCATGCGTCTTCTTTTAAGTAGTTAACTATCTTGAATCGGTCCCGAATCCACACCGACAAAATATTTCAGATTTGTCTCAGATTACCATTGTAATTTCCAATGAAATCCCGCATTTCGATGCAAGATTTTGACTTGTGCCCCCCTTGGCATACAGATAATCCTTTCTATTTTTTGTTTGATAAAAGGTATGCCTAGTCTCATAGAACGATTGTTAAGCTTAAAATATTTTTTCAAAATTGCCGTTAAAATATCATACTTTATATGTTCAGTGTGCTAGGAATAGTAGGAACACATAAAATAAATAATAATTATGGATTTCTTCGATGACTTATTATGATAAAAATTAAGCACTCTTTTACTACACTTTACGTGATATTTTAATAATATACGGGATAATTCAACAATCATGATCATTTCTATTTTTTATTTTATAGAAATTGTATTGAAATTCTAATTTTCTAACACTACATTCTCAAATACTTTTTTACGTCATCTAAATAGTAAATATTATATTGGGTTGATACGAACTTGGTATTCTCAAATGATTATCAGTGTATCACCTTCAGAAGCTAAAAATAGATCAAATTAAAAAAAAAATTGTTTATTTACATACCTACCAGCATAGATGCATTAACATTTAAAAAAAAAATCAAGCATCTAAAAATGTACAATGAAAAACAAATGATTTTCATTTGAAATAAAGGATATTAAAAGATACTATAAAAATTCAAGTATTTTCAARTATTATGCTTCTTAAGAATATACTTAATAACATCAAAAATCATAATTTGAAATACATGTTTATTGCATATGAATAAAAAGTGGGGTGAATATTCATGGTAAATCAAAAAAACACATACCTACTCCACTACATTTGTACTGTWTTTAATTTYGTTAACAATTATTATAATAGGAAGTTTATTATGTATATTTCATCCGGTCGGAAGTCTTCTTTCGGGATTCCTRCAGGAAAGGTTTGGAAGAAAACAATGCATAATTTTCGCCAACTTCCCCAGTATTTTGGGTTGGATTTCATTATACTACACGCACTCYGTGGTTTCACTTTACATGTCGACCGTACTAATGGGATTGAGCATAGGATTCAGCGAAGCCCCGATATTTTCTTACGTAGGAGAAATAACTGAACCGAGGCTCAGGGGAACGATGGCTTCGTTGACATCTACAGCTCCTATGTTCGGAGCATCGTTATTATTCACTTTGGGGTATTTATTTGAATGGCAAACTGTCGCATTGCTGAGTACAATTAGTCCGATCACCAGTATATGCCTTGTCATGTTGGTATGTTTTTATTATTTGTTTTTTTTTGTCCACATATTTAAATCAAATATATCTGTCTCCATTTTGTTTTTAGATTCCAGAGTCCCCTATATGGTTGATTTCTAAAGGAGAAACTGAAAAAGCCGAAAAGGCTTTGTGTTGGTTAAGAGGATGGRTGAAACCTGAAGAGGTCAAAACAGAATACCTCGAACTTGTCCGCTATAATGAATTATCTGGAACTCAACGGATAGCACCTGATGCCAACCATCATAAAAATTTCTTTTCAAAATTATCCCAATTTAAGGACCCGTCGGTATTCAGACCTCTTGGACTAATCATATTTTATTTCTTCGTTTCCATTTTGGTGAGCGGCATACCTTGTAGACCGTTTATCAGTAAGATTATGATAGAAGTGGGTTTATCGAATAATCAAAGTTTGTTACTGGTAAATATATCACCACTGTATCATTGTTTATAATAAACACCAAAAGGTACAATAATGTACAATAATGTATAATATATTTTTATTTTTTTAGGTTGTTTTCGCTTTACTATCAAATATCGGATGCGTGATTGTAGTCTTGATCGTCCATTATCTAGGAAAAAGATTTTTGACTAATTTGACATTTTCATTTAACACATTATTACTGTTTCTATTCGGAATTTACATTATAGCCATTAAGAACGGCTATATCTGCTCAACTCCTTGGATTCCTACAACTATATTATGCGGCATTTACTTTTTTGGAGGTTCAATTATTATTTTGCCATGGATGGTACTAGGTGAAGTTTTTCCGAACAAGTAGGTACACTAGGTACAGCCAACAAAAATCTAATGTACGTCCACATAGGCATTGGTGCAACTAAAATATATTTTCGTTGGGGGGAGGGGGGGTTATACATATTAAAAAAATAAATAATCAAAAAAAAACTTCACTTTGAAATTTGAATTTTAGAATCATTTGTGGGAGTTGGGTATTACAACCCCACCCCCGCCCCACCACATGGTTGCGACACTGCACATAGGTTAGTATACCTATATGGGCTATATGTTTAAAACTAAAATTGTAATAGTCCTGTAAGTAAAATAATTGAGGTCACGGGCGGCATCGCTCTTTGGGCATTTCGCGATGTCTGGAGAGAGAGGCCGCCGGCCCCCAACCGGACATGGCAGAAACCCACGGGTGCCCATTCAAAATTCTGCCAAAAACCCACGAGTTAAAACCTTACAGTACCTTCCCCTACAGTTCCCCAGGCTAATGACCTCAGTTGTCGAAGCCCTAACCATAAAAAAAAAAAATTGAATAAAATCGGAGCTC